CTCACTTTGCCCAGTAGCACAGCTCATTTGGCAGGAGCGCCATCTTGTTTTGGTGGGAGCACCAATTTTTTATTGCCTGAGTGTTCCTTTTAATTTGGTCTTTCTGTTTTATTACTCCCCACTTGTTCAGAAGTGGTTGTAATGACTGTTAAGAGAAATCCTAGTCCTGCTCTCCCTTCAAAGAGGGTGATTAGAGGCCGGTATCAGGTACTACGTTCAGCGCAGGCCCCAGCAGTTCCTCAAAATTTGCTGGATCATTTGGGTGCTATTATGGCTGATACTGGTTCTGACCCTGCGGCCTTGACAAGGTTTAATACAGAGCTTGAGTTATTGGCTCAGCAATTTGGGCGGCAGCCTGATTCTCAGCCTGGCTCCTCCACATCTACCACTGTTTATGAGGCCCATGGTCCATCTGATGCAAGCGAAGTGAGCGAGGCTTACGATCCTTCTGCAGTCTTACTCTCCCAGTTTCAGCCTTCCAGGAGCCCAGTCCCAGCTAGCCCTAGGGGTCATCCTAGGAGTAAAGGTAAAGGTACCCCTGCCCGTATGGGCCAGTCGTGCCCAACTCTAGGGCTGTGCGCTAATCTCACTTAAGAGGCTGGGAGCCAGCGCTGTCCGCAGACACTTCCGGGTCACGTGGCCAGCGTGACGAAGCTGCTCTGGCGAGCCAGCACCAGCGCAGCACACGGAAACGCCGTTTACCTTCCCGCTATAAAGCGGTACCTATTTATCTACCTGCACTTAGGGGTGCTTTTGAACTGCTAGGTGGGCAGGAGCTGGGACTGAAAGACGGTAGCTCACCCCGCCGCGGGGATTCGAACCGCCGACCATGCGATCGGCAAGTCCTAGGCACTGAGGTCCTAGGAGCGCTTCAGATCACTGGCTCTGGAGGCCCAGCAGCTTCCAGACTATTTCCCGGTTCAGCTTTGGAAGCTTGGCAACAGCTACTCCTTCAAGGAGTAGTAACATCCGTTTCTCCTTCTACGTTGAGGTCTTGTAAGAAGGCCTGGATGGACTTTTTAACTTTCAGAGTGTAGCATCCGACAAGTGACAGTACAGGGTCACCATCCACACATCAGGTGTTGCAGTATTTGGCTCACCTGTGGTTTATGGGTTGTGCTGTGAAGTTCATCAGAATTCAGTCTTCTTCCATTTCATTTTTTCTGTAAGTCCCTTTATTCTAGAGACCCTTGCACAAAGTTTGTGGTGCACAAGGCTCTTGAGGGCTGGGCCAGGCTGTAGCCACCTAAATCGCCAGGTAGGAGGCCTGTCACTTTCAACATTTTATGTGCTGTGCGCAGCAAGCTGAGGCTAGTTTGCAGGTCTATTTATGAGGCAAGACTCTTTTCGATGACCTTTTCAATTGTAATTTTTGGTGCATTGCGTGTGGGTGCTGGAATCAGTGCAGGGAAGGACTCCCAGGGGCTTTCTTTTGCAGGACATTTAGCTGTCCGATGCGGAGCTGGTGCTCACTATTCATAATTCCAAAATGGACCAGTTGGGCAGAGGTGCCTTGATGAGGCTGCCTGCGACTGGTAAGCCTGACCCTTGTCCGGTTAAGGATGCCAAGAAATACCTGTCACTTTGCCTGCCTGGGGATGGTCCTTTCCTGGTCCATAAGGATGGGTCCCTGTTAAGATGGCATCAATTTGCTGCAGTAATGCGCAAGGCGCTGGCAGCATGTGGCCTGTTGGCCAGTGAGTTTGCACCTCATTCCTTTCGCATTGGGGCAGCTACCACCACTGCCCATTGGGGCCTGCCCGTTGACAGGATTAAGGATCTGGGCCGCTGGAAATCTGAAGGGGTTATGTTCAGACGCAGGGGTTATGTTCAAACGCAGCGCTGAGGTGCAGTTGCTAATGTTATTTTGTTCATTCCTAGGTTCGCCTACCCTGCACGCCTGGGCACAGCATTGTCCACTGGGCCAGCAGGAGGGTGGCAAAGTCTGGATTTGGACGCAGGCTCGTGTATGTCTCCTGGATATCCAGACGAGGAATGCGTTGGGAGGAGCTTCTCCTGACGGGGCGGATGCATGTGTCTGCAGAAGGCATGCCTGTGGCGATGGTGGTGCAGCTGGGCGAGAATGATTTGCCAGAAGCTCCTGGCTTGAGTCTGCAGACCCGCATGCAGGAGGACTTGGAAGAGTTGAAGGCAGCTCTTCCCGAACTCAAAATATTTTGGTCGCAGCTGCTGCAGCAACGTGTGTGGCGAGGTAGCCGATGCCCAGCTGCCACTGAGAAGGCCAGGAGGCACATCCAGAGCACAGTGGCCAAGAAGGTTCTGGCCTTGGGCAGGACAGTGATCCATCACCTGGGCATTACCTTCCGAGATGTGTCCCTTTACAGGCTTGATGGGGTTCATCTGTCTGTGACTGGGAATGATTTGTGGCTGAACTCTGTGTCAGTGGGGTTAAGGGATTGGTTACAGGTGTGAGTGGTTGGTGGCAAGAGTGGGTGCTCGTGTGGCAGATAGGCTCTGGTTCAGGTGATAGGGATGGGAGAACGCTCCAGGGACTCAACTGGTTTGGTCAACCAGTTGGTCATGGGTTGTGCCCATGCCAAAGTCCAGGGGGACATCAGGGTGGCGGACATAGTCCATTCTCGACTTTTTGCTTATCCAGGTGTTCACCCTTGGCTGACCTATGCTGGAACCCTGGGTCAGTGCTACCTGTATGGCAGGGAGCTAGTCGAACCAGAGCCTTTGCAACCAGTCACTTTCTGTAATCAATAAAGTTGTGGCCTAAATTCTGCCAAAAACCAAAACTAAAATTCGAGTCAAGTGTGAATTTATTTAGGGGGGTGGTTTCTGGGTCTGAACACGCAAAAGACCAGCAAGCCTGCAGGTCTTCCAGGGCTCACAGCTAAGATGGTCTCATTTAAAACAACACAGATAAAAATTAAAAACAGCAGCCACAGTCCTTGTGAAGTCTTTTCAGCCAGGTAGAAGAGGCAAGGGCAGGGTCCTTCAGGCCCTCAGCAGGCAGTCCTCCTCTAGATGTGAATGAAGCTCAGTCCTGCAGAACAAAGAGTCTTTCCTGGTCTGCCCCAGCTTCTTAAATTTCACCCATATTACTTAGGGTGGAGAGGGGAATATTGAGTTGTTATTGTTGAACAATTGGGAGTCCATAGTCCTTGTCGATCTCCTGCGAAACAGCTAGAGATCTACCAGCAGATTCAGAGCTACCTTCTACCTATTCCTCAATGAGAGTATTTTATACTTTTTAGAGAGTTATTCAAACCAGCTAAATGGCATATGAATTTTGATGTGACTATTTTGCTTGCCCTGCCTTACTGGTCTAAAATCGTTTCATAGTCAATTAAGGATGATCTATTGGTTGTTAGTGAAGCATGGAGGAGGGCTGCGTATGAAGAAAAAGAAGGGCTGCTTAGGATGGAGGTGAATTATATCTACATTTCTGTTTTCCAGGCTTGATTATCTGGAGGTAAATACTTAACTGCTTTAGTATTCCTTTCAAATTCATCTCCAGAGTTAACCATCCATGTTTAATCATTTCACATAATGAGATTGGTATACTTTGAAAAAATCTCTTCACTTAAACATCAGGAATAAGCCTGTGCATAAGTCTAAGAGAATGAAAAATCCTATGTTGTGCACTGAAAAGGTGACCTGTGTTATGGAATATATTATGGCTGTAGCATACCCTCCAACATAGGGATGTTCTATTTAACAACAACAGCAACAGCAGCAACAACAACAACAACAACAATGGTACCTTGATCATCTGATTGGGTTGCCCCAGCCACTCTGGGTGACTTCCAACATATATAAAAACATAATAAAACATTAAACACTTAACAACTTCCCTATACAGGGCTGCCTTCAGACGTCTTCTAAAGGTTGCATAGTTAGGTATTTCCTTGGTTCAGGGGTCGCTTAACTCCACACCCTCCAATACTTCTATGATGAAAATAAGGACGTCCTAAGGAAAAGTGGGGCATTCCAGGATCAAATCAGAACCTGGTATGGCTTCTGTAAATCTGTGACTGTCCCTGGAAAATAGGGACACTTGGATAGTCTGCAGTAGAAGATAAAAATCCAAAGTGGACTGGGGGAAAGTAATTAGAGAACAGAGTGAGAGAGAACCTGGTGGGATGTGGGCTTGGCAGGATGACACAGATCAGAAATCGGCATATAGTTTGTGGAGTAATAACAGAAGAAAGAGGATGGTGGTCAATAGGGCAACTTATCAAGAGCTTATGAAGCTCCTTGTCTGTGTCAAGAAAGAATCACCTTCTGGTGATCAGACACAGATATTTGTATAAATTGTTTCTGTTTAGATCAAAATGACGTATTTTATTTAAAATGAATTCTACCCAGCCTTTCAATATTTTCTAAGCTTTTTTTGAAATTGGCAAACACCATAAAATTCAATACACAATAGGGGGACTTCCGGGTTGGCGCCTCTGGCAATGGCGGATTTCCTCCGATCGGGAGGAATCCGCTCCGTGGAAAACAGGGTCTGAACCGCCACAGCGAGGCGGAGACCCATCAAAAACCACAGGCGGGAGAAGCCTGTGGACATGGGATTTGGCTGGCACCTTTGCGCCCCCCCCTACTCGCGGGGAAACCCTGTTTTGGGGATCCGGAGCAACGTGGGGTGAGTGGCGCGGTGCTTTGAATCGACTGCTTCTTTCACGGAGTGAATCCGCATTGTTGTTGCCGGAGAGCGCTGACTTTTTCCTGTGGACAATTGGATTTTAAACAACTGCCCGTGAGTAGAACGGAAAATGGACTATGAAACTTCTTAATTAGGCACCGAAAGCGGGAAGGTCTAAACAGGAAGTCCGCCTTCCGCTTTTGTAGATAGATTGAAGCAAAGACACAGCAAGCTAGAGTTTAGAAAGTCGTCTGTAAGGGACTAAATTTTCATCATTTAAAATTACTGAACCCCCCTTGGAAGCAGGAGAAGAGGGGGGAACCTTTTTTAGACTGTTTAAACCTGCAGAAGAGAGAGTAAAGAAAGGTAATTTTCCACCGTCTTGGGTTGTTTTTTTTTTTTTGAATGATATTTATTAAAGTTTCAAAAAAAATACAAAGAATACAGAATACAGAAAGCAAAAGAATAAAGTTTTGTTTAAAAAAATATAACCAAAGAAGTAAAAAATAAAAGAAAACATACCAAATAAAACAATTAAAAGGACATTAAATTTCCATAACCTATCTTCCTTATACTTATTTCCCCGGACCTCCTCATACCTCCCTTTTTTGTATTCCAGTTCAATTTGTTGATTCAGCAAATCCTTACCATTAAAATTACCCAGTTGCAAACCTTTTTTCATATCTCTTAAAGCATTACAGCTAAAAAAAACCCCTAGTTTCTATCCAACATCCTTCTAAGATTCCTTAATTTTACAATATTTCTGTAAATAGTCTTTAAATTTCTTCCAGTCTTCTTTCACCGTCTCTTCTCTCTGGTCTCGGATTCTGCCAGTCATTTCCGCCAGTTCCATGTAGTCAATCACCTTCATCTGCCATTCTTCCACCGTCTTGAACCTGGGAGCGGGGTGTCAAGACAGACATTTTGGAGAAGTTCATTGACTATGGACAAACGTTTTTGACAGATAGTTAAAAGAATAGAAACATATTGATTCCATTGTTCCCTTTCGCATTTAAAAGGAACAAAATATCCACAAAATATCCGAAAAAGGAAAACTTTGTTGCTAGATCTGCTTTTAAAAAAACAAAAAACAAAAGATGGATACAAATAGAAATTGTTTCCCCTAGAGGGAGCTTGTGGAACTGTTATTAAAGTCGAACTGGGGAGCTTTGCAGCTGTAAAGATTAAAGATTGTGGGACCAGACTTCGACCTTGAACAAGAATGTGCTCAGAGGCTTTGGTGCTTGCCTTGTGTAAGACAAGTGCTTTATTGGAACAGTTACATGAGAAGATGGATTTGATGACTGTTGCGATCGGAAATTTTGGACAGGCAGTGGGTACCTATATAGAACCCACTCAGGAATTAATCCAGGAATGTGCTTTGACAGATGAGATGAGGGAGGAGGTTGTTGCTGGACCTCGGGTGGCAGAGATGGAGGGAGCTGTGGCCCAGCAGGAACATGAGTTGTTGGATTTGACGAATGAACCTGGAAAAAGTCAGATTTGGAGAGATGGAGTTCTGTTTGGCTTGGAGATGGGGGGCTGGATGGACCCCCCTATGCAGGGATGTTTTGATCTTTCAAGTCTGGCTTTAGGCCAGGGGGAGCTCGGAGTTGTGGGGGCCCCTAACTTTGGAGGGACCTTGAAACATGCCTTTAAATACCACATGGATTTCAGTGTTGACTATGGAAAAGGGGCTGACTTGTTGAGAAGGGACAAAAATATTGTCAAGCTGGAGTCTCCCCGAGTGAAAGGAGCAGAAGACAAAGTAAAGTACAGGTATAAACATGAAGAAGACCTGCGGAAGGGACATGGAAAAGACTTAAGAGCCTCGGATATAAGGTCACCAGGTTGATGGACTAGATGGATGGGATAGAAAGGACTGACAAAACCCGAGACCAGGAAGAGACAATGGATGAAGATTGGAAGAAAGTTTTAAAAATTTATTTAGAAAAGTATCGTAAAATTAATGAGTATTAGAAAAATGTTGGAATGAAAGTATTTGGCTTTAGCAGTAATGTTAAAAAGAATTATGTAAGAATATGTTATGGTTAAAAGAATTCAGTATAAATAAGATTTAAGTTTTAAGTTTTAGGGTTTTTTATGGTAAGATAAGGTTAAAATAGATTAAGGTAATTTAATGACAGAATATTGTGAAAGATGGAAAGGATTTGCTGAGATAATGAACAACTAGAATACAAAAATGGGAGGTGTGAGGAGGTCGATGAAATAAGTTAATGAAAGTTAAGGATTTGGGAATATTGGATTTGTTTTTAAATTTTTTGTTTATTTTTGCTTTTTGATTGTGATGCATTGTGTGTTATGCTTTTTCTTTTTGATTTTGGTTTTTATTGATTTGTATTGTTTAATTGTTACTTTTATCTACTTTTTTCTTTCTTTTTCTCTTTTTCTTGTTTTTTCCTTCTTTTTTTCTTTGTAACTTTAAAATTCTCAATAAATATCATTTTAAAAAAATTCAATACACAATAACACAATAAGCAGAAACAACACAATCACACGTTCTTCAGAAACAAAAAGAAAATTCCAATGCTCAATGGAAAGCTTGTGCAAATTTGACACCACATATAAAGATAAACGAAGTAGGTGCCCAGGTAAAATCCCTTCCAGAAATGGTGTGCAAGCAGAGAAGAGGCCCTCCTTTGGGCGGCCCCCTCCCTTGACTCTGGGGGTCAAGCGGGGTCCCCTTGACACAGGCCTCCCAGGACACTCTTAACTGCAGGGGCAGGTTTATTGGGGAACAGGCAGCCCCCTTTTGATAACTGGGTCTTAAACTCTATAGGTAAGAAACAGGTGGTACTTGGATGGGAGGACTAAGGAGGACAAATCTATTTCTGGTCTGTCACTTTCAAATATTTTACCCACAATTCCATTCTGTTTCCACCTTAGTCTGCAGTATTTAATTGAAAATCTCTCCCTCTCTCTCCATTTAAATTGTTTAATCATGACAAAAGCTCCTGTTTCCAAAAAGGAGAGGAGGTGGGGGTCTGATCTCTACACCACTTTTCATTGTTCTCTGCGATATGGAGGGGAGGAGAAAGGAAAATGGGACATTCTAGGATCAATTCGGAAGCCAGGATGGCTTCTGTAATTCGGGGTACTTGACCTTGCACAAAGCCAGTTCACAATACATTAAACTCTGGGGCCTGTAATAGGGCATGATGATAAAAGCTGAGTGTTAGACGGCTTTAGTAGACAAGCAAATATTTTCATCCCTTTACATCTTGCTTTAGAGTCAATAGCTTTAGCAGTGTTCATAATGCCATTAACTATATCCAGATGACAAATAGTATATTCTAAAATTAAGCTTGAAGTTATTAATCAGTTTCACTATTAGAGCAAGGAATGCATTTATCAACAACAGATTAAAATGTGCATTTTAAATAGGCCAGTGCTTTTAAGTTTATTTGCCAAACACATATTTTATATGAATTAATTGAGAGAAACTTATTATTGCTAAAGAACCCAAATATGTCTGTTGCAATACTGCAATATTTACATCCATCATTTGTTGTTGCAGTGCTTATCAACCTTACTCCCTTGAGCATTTGCACACACACTAAGTTCACAGGCAGTGTCAAGCAGGAGGCCTGTTGCTGCACAGGAACTCAGGGCTCAGACATTGATCTTGAGCTTTCTATGCAGTGGCCTAAAAGGATTCTCTTCTGTTCCACGACTCTCCTCAGGAAAGCCCTCCGTCTACTGCTGAATTGGAACTGGAATAAACACCAGTCAGGTTTTCTGTGGATGTTTGTTTGTTTTGATTCAGCAGTAAACAGCAGGTTTTCCCAGGGAAAGTGGAGGCAAAATTGTGGGGCAAAGGGAATTGTGGATGAGCCGTAACCGTCCCAAGATCTTGTTTACTATTACTGATATTTTTATGGACAGATCCCTTATAATTTTTCCAGGAACCCTAAAATTCCCAGGAACACAGCATGTAAAGCACTGAACTAGGTAATCTACTAAAAGCAAGACAATGCATCTACTCACCAAATTTGAATAGGTGACAATGCACAGCCACCACTGGGTCTTTGGAAGGGGAATAAGAGCAAAGCCTATTGGTAGCACATATGGTTTGCATACAGAAAGTTCAAGCTTCAGTTGTTGGCATCTCTACAGAAAGAGATCTCAGGGCTGGAAAGCCCCCAACCACTGCAAGAGTAGTCAGCCCTGGACTGGATGGAGAAAAGACTCAAGATAAGGCAGCCATCCTATGTTGTAGGGGTCAGATCACAGGACTGCCAGAAGAGTAGCTAAATTGCAGCTAGGAAGCCAAATCACTTACAATACTAACTCTTTTCTTGAAATTAAAACAATGTCTGAACACCTGTGAAAATATTCAAAAGCTGTTACTTGCAGAAAGAGGAATATATGAAAAATATTTACATTCACTTGCTTATCCAAGCATGGGCTTAGTTTTTCTTAGTTGAAGATTACAGCTTCTTCCTTAAACGTTCAGACAGTGATTTCTCTCTTTCCAGTCCTTGAACTCAGCCTTCTGCACATGAGCATTCCTCTCCTCTATTGCAGAGAGAGAGAGAGAGAGAGAGAGAGAGAGAGAGAGAGAGTTAACTAACACGTCTCTTCTTCAGTGTCCATGGAGATGCAGACATTATAGTCAAGTCACTCACACAAAACAAAATGGAGACTGTAATATGATACTTTCCAGGTGACCAAAGCTAACCAATCGCAAGAGAGTTGCTGGGGAACATACCAGAATTAAACACCCAGTAATGCATTTAAGCACTCCCAATTTCAGTTAATTAAAACACTATACTTAATAAGGATGACTTGTCAGCCTTTTTCTCATTGCTAACAATATCACCTAGCACAAGATACTCTTTGTGCAGACACATTGTAACTGCCAAAGAATCAGTTGGAAAGACCATATGGGGCTATTTAATGGGGGGGGGGGCAGGACAGGATAACTAAAGTAGGACATGATAAAATATACGATTTGGATGTGTGGAGGGTGAATAAAGGCAAATTTCTTTTCCATTATAGCAGAATTCCCAATAAAATGTTAGCAGGTTTAGGGCACACAAATGGAACTCATTATTCAGATAATGCAAAATTATCCTTTGGAATTTGTCACCACAGGATGCAATGATAATCTTTAGCTTAGGGAGTATGTCCCCACATTTTTTTCAACAGCATTGGAGCAATTACACTGTGGGTTGTCCATTGCAATTGGAAACCTAAGATCACAGGTAAAGAGTTCCCTGGAGGGGCAATACTGGCCTGGGAAGTAGCTAAGTTTGCAGCCCCTCACATGGTTACCACGTTGGCATTGAAGTAGGCCCGTAAGTGTTAATAAACAATAAAAAATGCCACAATCGATCAAGTTGTGAAATATAGTTCTGCCATGAACTATGAGCCATGGCAAGAGCTAAATGGAATCTCTGTGTTCAGAGGACAGACAAGAGAGGGATGGCATCACCTTTGTCCTCTTCCCAGAGGCCCATCTCTGGCCAGCATTGGAAATGGAATTCTGGACAAGATGGGCAATTCTTGCACTTATATGCAACTTTGAATGTATTTACAGAAAAGTTTCCTTTATTGTATACCTAACCATTAAGAATGGGATCTGGCTAGAAGTCAAGGTCTGTTCTTCATTCCTTTTTCAGAATGACAGGAAATCTCCATTGTCAGCATCTCATACTAAAGACGAGGCTGTTAGATCTGATGTCTCCTAAGTAATATGATGAGACAGGCGGGGCTCCTTTCCTTTTGCTTTGTCAAAGATTCTCTAGGCTGTCTTTAACATCTCAGGACATTTGTCTTTACAAACCAGGAGTTCAATGTATCCCTTAAGTCCTCATCAGTGACAGCAAAAGTATTTTTGATGCCTGGAAGATTTTATATCTTAACAAAAAAAAAGGTACCTCCTTCTCACAGACACGTTAAGGACACATGACCAAGGAAAGATTGCCAAATCATGTTTTCAGAAGTGAGGCTGAATACTGAATATATTGATGCAGTTACCCTATCTTTTTTAGACAGTTAGGCTGTTTTTCAATAGCTGATTATGTTCTGCAAAATAATACTTTGATGTAAATGTTGTTGTTGATTAGTCATTTAGTCGTGTCTGACTCTTTCTGACCCCATGGATCAGAGCACGCCAGGCACTCCTGTCTTCCACTGCCTCCTGCAGTTCGGTCAAACTCATGTTTGTAGCTTCGAGAACACTGTCCAACCATCTCGTCCTCTGTCGTCCCCTTTTCCTTGTGCCCTCCATCTTTCCCAACATCAGGGTCTTTTCCAGGGAGTCTTCTCTTCTCATGAGGTAGCCAAATATTGGAGCCTCAGCTTCACGATCTGTCCTTCCAGTGAGCACTCAGGGCTGATTTCCTTCAGAATGGATAGGTTTGATCTTCTTGCAGTCCATGGGACTCTCAAGAGTCTCCTCCAGCACCATAGTTCAAAAGCATCAATTCTTCAGCGATCAGCCTTCTTTATGGTCCAGCTTTGATGTAAAGACTTCTTTTAAAAAATGATTTATGTAATGAAGGTACTCTAATACCAAAAACACTTGTTTCTCTGAAAATTTAAGTGTTTGGAGTACACCTTAACTGTGATCCCACAAGACATCCTTCACACACCTGCCCTATTCATGTGTTACTCTCATGTAGGAACAGGGCCACACTTTTATCCCCTTCTTTCTGCACCAACCATGCATTGTGCCTGGTTGTCTGCAGAAAAATTCAAAAGCTTGAGCACTTACTTGCATGCAGGTACCACGCATGATTGGTACAGCAGCATATTAGGCTTTCCTAATTGTGTATGCTAAGAGGTGCTCACACGTTTTAATTTCTTTGCAGACAACTGCAGGCAACACACAGTTGGTGAAGGAAAAATATGTGACATGTTTCTCCACCTAATACTACAAAATTATTTATTTCCAAATGCAGAAGCACTTCTGCTGGGCTCAGCTACTGTGGAGCAAGCCTGGAGAAGAGGCTTGGGTGAGATGTTGGGCATGCAGAGGGAACATGGCAGCCGACAGAGACTTGACTTTGTTGTTGTTGCAACTATTACAGTATAAAGGAAAGCAGAAATGTTGGCAGAGGGGGATTAAGAGAGGGACAGAAAACCAACCATGAGAAGCAGCATTTGGAGCCACAAGAAAGGGAAGCTGCTCCTTTTCCCTATACACCTCCAGTTAAGCCAGACATGGGCTAAGAACGAGTGCAAATGCAGAACCGCCATTTGAGCTAAATCTTAGCCGTAAGCTGCTAGCCAAGACTGAAGTTCCCCTCCCTGTTGAGGTCCCAGAAGCAGGATGTTCCAACAACAGTAGGAGGGTGAGAGGAAAAGTGAACTTGTCTCAGGTGAATGCTGCAACCAGAGAGATAAGGCAGAGAGCTTCTCACAGATGCAGCAAACCTGCAGGTGGGCAGCCACAGCATTTCACTCTCCAAGTGGGGGCTCACATTATTTAATTCTTCCCAATACAAAAAATAAAACAACACCCCCAGATACAAAACAAGATGCCAGGAAGGAGTACACCCTCACCTTCTTCTGACAGTTTCTCATATGCACAGAGATATTTTGTATGGAAGAGCATGAAACCTCACATGCCATCAGCAGTGGGACCCTCCTCAGAGGGACCTAGGTAAAAGCAAACTGGAAAGAGAGACACTAACTGTACCAATCTCATGCAAAAAGGGGGAGGAAAGGCCCCATGCTAAGAGGGGTGCAAGTGCGGGCCCCTTTTGTACCTGCATCTAACTTCTCTGTAGTCCCAAGCACTTTTCTGCAGCAGAGGTCAGTTCTGGCATTGGGTTTCCATTTAGAAGAAAAGCCTTACCCTCTCGCTTCCCATGGGATGAGAACATCTCCATGTTTAAAGCCAGAAATGTTTGGCCATCTAGTCTGGCTCTCAGATGGTGCCCAAATGATTTCATTCTGTGAGATGTTTAACAGCTAAAATGGCACAGTGAAGATTGTCTTGCTTTAATGTGTTTTGCCAAATATGTCAGCTGAACAGGCCTCAAATAACCCTATACATTTGCTTTTACTCCCTTTGATGATATTGAAATAACTTCCATTGTTTTCCATGCATTATCCCATCACCACGTAACAATAGCAGCTGTAGAACATTCTGCTACTTAACTTGACACCAGAAAATAATGTTTCATCAAAACAGAGGATAAAAACTTTATCAACTAGTCCTGCTAGCTATAAAAGGTTTATATTTAACATTAATCTTTTAAAATACTAATAACTGAGGAAATGCAATATTTTAACTGAGAAAATGTGCATTAAAATGTCATGGTTTAAATAAATAGGAACAAAATTTGGAAACCAACACAAGCTGTTATAAGCTAACTGATAACTACTTGACATAAAAGTTTAGTTTATCTGACCATTCTGTAACAAGTCACTGGGCAGGACCAAAAAAACCATGGAACTGCTACCATTCTCTGAATGCAGCACCATTTGGTTCATATCAGAGAACTTCAACAGGGATGAGATGGGTGTGGCAGGGAAGAAGGTCTCTTTGCTTTGCAGCTTCTGGAGTTAAGAAGCATGTCGCCTAAATAAGGCAGCAAGGCCAGCCAGGGATGTGGAACCTGTGGCTCTCCAGATGTTGTGAGTCTGCAAATCCTGCCCTCTTGGGCCATTGCACCTGCTGCCTGAGGCAGATGGGGAGGCAAAGGTTCTCCATCTCTGGATTAAGCAGTGTGTGACCACAGTGGGAGACCAGTACAGGGTGAGTCAATAAAGGCAAATCCAGACACCGGAAAAACAGGACACATTTGGCGCTTTCCAAGGCTTGCCTGCTCAGCTTAGCCTCTGATAAATGCCCCATGGCACGTCTATTCCATCTTGAGCAATTTATCATGGGGGCTACTGCCATCAGGTAGACAGTCCTCATACTGCTAGTCCCTGCCAGGAAAGTTTGTGGAAAATGTGGAGATTCTCCATTTGATGGGTATTGATCCATATGGTCAGCTTCTCTAAGCATTAGGGGCTTTTTGTGGACCACAGATTGAAGACATGTGAACCACAGAGCAGCCGGGCATTTGGGTTCATGTGTGGACAGGTGGCTTGGAGATCAGCAAACAGATAGGAGTTTGGGCTGCAGAGAACAACATGATTGAATCAGGAGCCCCACAAGTCTATACATCTGTCAGCGACACTCGATTGGGCCTCTGGTTTCTCCTCACTTGCTGGACAAGGAGGAAGGAAGATGCTCATGGGAGCCTCATAGCTAAAATTGCCTGCAGTCAGCACCTTTTGCCAGCCATCCTAGGAGTGCAGGGAGCAAGTGCCTGATCCGCAAGGCTTCTGGCTTGAGAATCAGGGACCTGACAACAGTAGAGGCCTGGATTGGTTAAAGAGTGGTGTTAATAACACCAAGGTTATAGGTCTGAACCCCATATGGGGCAGCTGCATATTCCTGCATTTCTGGGGGTTGAACTAGGTGATCCTCAGGGTCCCTCCCAACTCTACAATTCTAAGAGTCTAAGACTCAGGTATGTAGCCTGCCCTGTTCTGGAGGTCTGGAGATGTTTTATTGTGTTTTTAATATCCTGTTGGAAGCTGCCCAGAGTGGCTGGGGATGTCCGGCCAGATGGGTGGGGTATAAGTAATTTTTTATTATTATTATTATTATT